CAAATTTTATATATTTGTAATAATCCCATATATATATATATATATATATATATATATATATATATATATATATATATATTGATGCATGTTTCATTAAATAATATAGACAAGCGTTGTCTATTTATTTTATGTAAATTCTTTTCATATCGTCTGATAAGCTTAATAACATTATCATTAAACGAAGAAAGAAAATCACAATACTGATACATATTTTTTAATCCTATCTAAGCATTCGGCTTACATAAGCCATTATCAAACATGACAATTACATTACAATACATTAAGCAATACACGGACAAGACAGTGATGATAGTCTGTTTCTGTTTACATGGAAGATTTCCAAGGAACGATAAACACATGCATATAAGACGCTGGAAGCGAAAATCGCACCGCAGCTCATGACGTCACAAATGCCCACTCGAGAGTGAATTCGAGAAGTATTATGTATGGGAAGCCGTTTGTATAAACCAATGGTTTCTGTTAGCAATTATAGGCATTTAAGAATATTTGTGGAGATTCCATAGTTGATTATGTTCAGGTTAGGTTTCAACTGTTTTATGTATATAGCTTGAAGAATTTTTAGTTTTTGTTTATTGTTTTCATGTTTAAGTATAGCTGTGTTTTCAACAAGGATTTTCCGGATTTGTGTATGCGGCCAGACATGTTGTTTTAAATGTCTAAAAATGTTAGAGTTATCATTCAAATGTAGTGTCAAGCGTCGTGAAAGCGAGTTTGTGGTGTGGCCAACATAAATATAATTCGTTGGAGATACAATCTCCCAAAGGAATTTGTAAACTATGTTGGTTTTTTCGCAAATCGCTAACCGGGGGAGAAGAATCATTGCGAATAATTCAGTTGGATATACTAGATTTAGTGTCGTATATGATTAACTTATTTTTTTTTAGTAGGATCTGTAGCAGACATATTAGTATTTACTAATATATATATATATATATATATATATATATATATATATATATATATATATATATATATATATATATATATATATATATATATATATATATATATATATATATATATATATATATATTTGTATTAATCCTATACTTATATATATATATATATATATATATATGTATATGTATTTTTGAATATACATTATATCAAACTTCGATAGAACGACTCGGAGTTTCATGCAGTTCTTGCAATCTTCAAGTACAAATATAATCTAACCATTACATATTTCGCGTTCTTGAAGAGATTATTTAAAATTGTGTGTTAAAACTGTTTTTTAATTGTTGCTGCATAAAATATTAGAATTGACTATTAATAATTCATATCATTCAAATTCTTAAGTTCGAAAGGCTAAAAATGTTAAATTATTAAAATTTAAATCTGGATTCAAAGTAAACAATATATTAATAGGGATAACTCTCTGTTTCACAAAAATAGCCTAGTTATACCATTTAACTTAAACTAGAACACAGAGTGGAAATATAAGAGTTCGAAGATACAAATTACAGATCTGTTTTTGGAATCAATCCTTGTACTTATAAATGTGAAATTATATATATATATACATGTTATAAATTATTCACGTATAGTTATATTGGATTGTATGTGTGTATAAATATATACGAAATATTATAGATTATGGATTCTAAGAATATGAAAAGTTATTGTATATTATATTAATATTCGTAAAATCTATTTTGTAATCATTTTTAATCGGTGTCAATGTGTTTGATCCGGTGCTTGGAATTTATGGTTACATGTAGACATCAATTCGGACCTCGTGTCCAGAAAGTTATGGAAATTTAAATGTTTTAATATAATAAGCTTCTCCAACAAACACAAGTTACATCTGTCTCCCTTTTCGTTTATGGCTTAGCTTTCGCGATTATTTGTCAACTAATGGTTGTGTTCTTATGGTTGTTTATAAATTGTTAATATATTTTGAAAGTGTATTTGATGTTGCTCAGTGTCATTTTGTGGTGGTAAAAACACGATTTCCAACTGTCTCTGGGTGATCCAAAGTAATATTTAATATTATCATCTGAATTGATCCTAGCTCTGTATATTACGCCTTCAATCATGCACTGGACATTTAATGGGCAGGTTATGTCTTTATGGCAGATGCATTGAATTTAGTAGGATTATTTTTTAGTGTTTTGTTTGGGAGCTTGATTAATACATCATTGCTATGATGGGATATGTAATTATTATTTTTTTTTTTTTTTTTTTTTGTACAGCTATAGTTTACCTTAATGTTATTTGTGTTGAAAATCTTTTTTATTGTTGGAGAATGACCAAAGTGTTTATGAAAGAAGATTAAGTTTGTTGTTATTGTCAAAACGTCTCTTTCGTGCGTCAGGTGTGTGTCGATCCGAATAACCTACAGAGTATTTCGAATTGATCTCTTTATTTAAACTCCGGGAGTAGATTGTTCCCATTCCACTGTCCATGTGAATCAGTAGCAGTCAGGTTAAGTTTTACGCCTCCACATTCTCAATACAGAATTACCCGACAGGCCAATAACCTCGTGGATTGAAGTGTCGGTTCGTAAATTTGGAGACATAGTAATTGTGTGTTTAAAACCTGGTCTCATTTAACCCATAGTAGGAGGGATTAAAAAATGAATTCGTAAATTTCCAAGTATATTTTTACTTAAGTGAATATAATGAATTTGATTGGAATCTGAACCCGTTATCCATTACACAACACGCGCATCCTCAAAAGCAAGAATAAATAAATAAATAAATAAGGAAGAAATAAAGTAACTGTCATTAAGAGAGACTTGAAACAGGAAGGATCCGGAGAAGAAAGAGACAGAAGAACGTAAATGGAAAAAAGGATAGATAGATAGATAGATAGATAGATAGATAGATAGATAGATAAAAACAAGACTTAGATAGATAGATAGATAGATAGATAGATAGATAGATAGATAGATAGATAACATATACTGGAGAGAGAAAAATCGGGAAAAGAAAGAAACACAAAGAATAAAGAAAAAGATATAAATGAAATGAGGAAAGGAAGATGGAAAGAGAAAAGAAAATAGAAAAATATGAAGGAATACAAATAATGAAAGAGAACAGAAGAAATGAAAAGAAATAAATGAAGAATATTTCCTCTGTGAATTTCCTCTCCTTTTTTTCCTTTTTTTTCTTTTTTACCTTCTTTCTTGCATATTTTCCGTATTTCTTTTTTCTTTCTTTCTTTTTTCTTTCTTTCTTTTTCTTTCTTTCTTTTTCTTTCTTCTTTGTTTCTAGTTAATTTTTCTCTTTCTTTTCTTCATCTTCATTTTTCTCCCTTCTATCTTCTTTCCTTTGTACTTGTTTTATTTTTTCATCTGTTCTCTTCTGTTCTCTTCTGTTCTTTCTTTCTTTCTTTCTTTGTCTGCTCTCCATTTTGTTAATTTCTTCTGTTTTTTTTTGTGAATAGCTAAGAATAATGAATAAAGAATGAAATATTTTAAAAACTGAAGAAGAGAAAGGAATTCAGGAAGATAGGAAAATTGGCTGAAATTAGGAAATGAAACAAGAGAAAGAAGTGAAGAACATTTTTTTAAAAAAAAATAGGCGATAAAAAAATAAAATCGTAGAAAGGAGCTAAAAAATGGCAAAAAAGAGGAACACATGGAAATTTTAAATAAAATAAAAAATAAACCAAACAAATTAAAGAACAAAGAAAGTCAAAAAAAAAAAAAAGAAGATAAAGGACAAAGAGAAATTGATTTGCTTTTTACGGTTTATTTTGGGTTACTTAAATCTGAGATATAGTTTGGATATTAAAAATTGTTCTTATATCTTTGTAAATAACTTCTTTTTTTTTTTTTTTTAGTTTAACACTGATTTTTCCCGAAAGAAAGCCTGCTATTGAACCCATACATCGGGGAGGGGGGAATGGATTCATAACTTTCCCAAGGGTTTTGCTTATAAGTGAATTTAACGAACCACACTCGAATTCGAACCCAGCTCTTCTATTTCTCATTTCGAGCCACTTTCCACTACACCAGCCGCACATCATGACAGAAAAAAAAAAGAAAACATAAAATATAAAGGTGCAAAAACAAAACAGAAAATAAGAAAAAACGGTGAATAAAAAAAAGGAAATCAAAATAGAAGAAAATATAGAAAAATAAGTCAGAAAAATGAATGAGATAAAAAAGAAAAAAAAAAGAAAACAAAGACAAAACTAAATCCAAAGAAGAATCAGCAATATCACTGATCCTGACCTGGCATCTCGGTTTCAACCGCCGTAATGTCGCCCGCCTGTGCCTTTTCTACAAACACTTTCAAGGTAATTATTCTGATGAACTTTCGTCTATGACACATAGATTTAATGAATTTAATCACCGTACTAGATTAGGTCAAGTCTCATCATTTTATGGTTGAATTGGTTAGATGAAACCGTAAGTTCTATGCTAACAGTTTCGTCTCTGGCACTTCTCTCTTGTGGAAATTGTTTCCGTCTTCTTGCTTTCCAGTCATCTTTGATCATCAAAAATTTAAATCCAGTATCAATTGTTATTTTCTGTCTTCTTCATTCCTGTTTTTTTATTGTTCTCTCTTCTTAATAGTGTTTTTCTTCCTCGCATTCTCTAATATTTAGTAACCCTTTACGTCTTAGTGGCTGTATTGCCTTGCTTGAGGGTGAAATGATTTTGAAAAAAATAACGAAAGAAAGAAGTGAAAGCAATAAATGGAGAATTCTATGGAGAAAACGAGGGAAATGTCCGTAAGGATAGAAACATAACAGATGATGAAAATAAAGAAATAGAAAGGGAGAAAAGATAGAAAAAGAAGATAGAGAAAAGGGAAAAATAAATGTAGCAAATTTTGAAACAAGAAAGAAAGCAAGAAAAAAAAAAGGGAACAAGATCGAAAGAAAAGAAAAGAAAAAAGTCACAAAGAAAAGACGTAGTTGAGAGGTCATGTGATTTTGCACTCCTGTTGAGAAGACTGCGTTCAGTTTGTTCTCCTGACAGGTGCTAATTTCTAATTTACATTGCCTATTATATATTTTGTCATCTTTTCTCTTCATCGTGCCGACCTCCTCTGGGAGGCGTTTGCGCACACCGCCCACTGCTTGTCCATCTTACAGACCCCGTCACTTCCACGAAACCATTTAATCTACGCAACGTCCCTATCCAATCCGCGACAACAGGTAATTTTTTACACAAAACTAGTCAAACTAGCAAACATTAGCACATACATTACCTATACTAAGACAACAAATATGCTCATAAACATTCATATATATATATATATATATATATATATATATATATATATATATATATATATATATATATATATATATGCATGTTTCATTAAAAACGATAGACAAGGTACTACGGTTAAGCTTTTTATTTAATTTTTCTTGTGTTCGAAAAATTGCTTTCTTTTTTCGACACAGAGTGTGTAGAAATTGTCCAAATGTTCTTTTGTTCCGAGCGCTTTCGGTTATACTTTTAGCCATTATCAAGGATGATTTTGTTTTCAGTTTAATTTAGTGTGTGCGTTATGTGTATGCTTTTAGTGTGTTATAGATATTTTATTTTCCGAACATGGTTAGTACATTGTGGCCTTGTTCGTTGTTAATATTGTTAAGAGTTGGCTTTTACTTTTAATTATCAGGGCTTCCATTATTTTTAATCTTTTTACAGATGTATGAGGTTATTATGTTTGTGTTTTCTACTAGTATGTTTCGAATGAAGTCTGGTAAGTTTGTGTGTGTGTGTTTATATATATATATATATATATATATATATATATATATATATATATATATATATATATATATAGCAAAATATGGATATAAATCCGACAGTATGAAAGAAAATACAGAAAAAACAAAATTCTGAATATGCATTATTAATGTTAAAATAAAGTCGACGTCGGATTTAAACAGAACGCTGATCTGTATAAAATTTCAGTTATCTGTTTGAATTAGTTGGGCTCTTATGTCCATCGTCTTTTGTGTTAAATTGTTATAAGTTATAATGTTAATTATGTTTAAATGAAAATGTCCATGAAGATGGTCTTAAATAGACCGAAACGTCCGACGTCGACTTTATTTTAACATTAATAATGCATATTCAGAATTTTGTTTTTTCTGTATTTTTCTTTTATATATATATATATATATATATATATATATATATATATATATATATATAATGATTTAATGAAAAACAGACACTTTAAGGTACCATTACAATAATTTATTTCACCAAAAATACTTTTTAAAGGATTTCGGATCATCAGGTAACACTTCCAACAATGAAATGAGAGGAAAAATGATCCGAAATCATAAAAAAAAAGTATTTTAAATAAAATAATAATAAATGTTTTCATAAAATTATTAGCTCTGTTCTTCATTGAGCTCTCAGGATTTAATCCTCCTTGGAATTACCAGTTCGGTTTACCAAATTCTTCATAATATATATATATATATATATATATATATATATATATATATATATATAGTTCTGTTTGTCTTGTTTAACGGTATATCAACCTCAATGGGTTATTTAATATCGACAAGATTTTTATTGCTGGTAATATTTTTCAAAAATGTATTATATTTTTTTGAAAAATATAGTGCCGGTATTTTTTTTTTTTTTCAAAAAATGTATTGCTGGTAATAATTTTTTCTTCAAATATTTACTGCTGGTTATAAACATTTATAAAAATTATTGTCGGTATTAAAGCCTATTTGTACACTTTTATGGTGTTTTGACCACTGTGTCAGGGTCAGCTATTTGCCCATAGCTGGAACCCTAACAGATACAACCACCCCGGGTCAGGGGAGACCTGAGAACAGCAAAAAAAATCTCCTGATCAGAGGCTTTGATGTTGGATGTAGTTTATCGTCCTTCCAAAGACGCGGATGTAGTAGTTTACTTTCATACCCAGGATGATATATATATATATATATATATATATATATATATATATATATATATATATATATATAGAGAGAGAGAGAGAGAGAGAGAGAGAGAGATATAGTAAAGGTAATAAATCCGTTGTTATATAATCCAAGTAGATCCTAAAAAATATAAAATATTAAATATGATCCACAAAAAGAGCCTAATCTATTTATCATAGAGCAAATAATTAATACCTAATAGAATCCCAAATCACATCATATATACGAAATAAGCTTATTTCAACCGCCGAAAAATTGAATTTCGTCAGTCTTATTCAACCCCAGCATAGACTGAGTTCATGTCGGAATTAGAAATTTAACTTTGAAAGCTACAAAAAATCTATAAAAATCCATTTGATAATATATATATATATATATATATATATATATATATATGTTATGAAATGGATTAAGTTCAGCAATTATTTAATACATTTTCTCTTTATATCTTATTTTTATAGATACAATTTTATTTATGTAAATGCTCCGTCTTTTTAATTAAACAGTAAAAATTACATTTACCAGCCTGAATGTTCGAGAAATTTCGTAGGAAATATCCGCTCTCTGACAGGAATCGAACCTGTAACCCTAATGGGAAACATCATTTGATATGACGTACTGTTAACCATTCAGCTACAAAGAGGTTGGTTAGCAAGCTTGTATTGCTGTTTATAAAAGCACATCTTCGACGATTTTTCGCGATCGATTATTTCAGGCCGTTAAATACAATTAATATTGTTTAATAAAAAAAAAACAAAAACAGAGCATTTACTTAAATTATATCCATAAAAATATTGTATAAACAGAAAATGTATTAAATAATTGTCGGACTTTGTTCATTTAATATGTTGTCATTGTTTACCTAACAATATGCTTCGTGAACAGATCTGATCGATCGAAAAAATCGTCGAAGGTGCGTTGAATTGTGCATCTGGATAGCAATCCCTCTTTTATACCATCCTAGGTATAAACTACATCCGAGTCCTGAGTAAGACGATAAACTACATCTATGTCCTGGATATGACAATAAACTAACATCCAACAGCAAATCCTGTGATCAAAGGCTTTGAGGAGAGTGGAACCACCTCTTAGTTGCTGTTGTTCGCAGGTCCACCTTGATCCGGGGTAGTAGCACCCGTTAAGGTCCTAGCAATGGATGAATAGTCCAGCCCCAAACTGGGGTCAAAACACTATGAAAATGTCAAAATAGGTTTTAATACCGGCAATACGATTTTATAAAAAAAATTACCACCAATACAGTTTTACATTAAAAATATTACCAACAATAGAAAACTTGTTGGCATTAAATAACCCATTGAGGTTGATACGCTGTAAAACAAACCAAACCAATTCAAACCAAACCAAACCTCTTTTATACACGTTTCATTAAAGACGACTGATGGATCTGGTATAAAGCTTTTTATTTAATTTTTCTTGTTTTCATATTAGTGTTTTCTTTTCTGGACATAAAGTATGTAAAACCTGTCCAAATGTTCTGCATATCCGGGTGCTTCCTCTAGCCATTATCGAGGATGACTTTTATTTTCACTGAATGTATGGATGATTTCTTTATGTATGTATCTAGAGATATAAAAATGTTTTATTTTCCAAACAGGGTCAGCATCTTGTGGCCGTGTTCATAGTTGATGCTTTTGAGTGTTGCCTTTTTCTTTTTTTGTTATTAGTGATTCACAATGTGCTGACTGTGTTTGGAAAATAAAACATACCTATAACCTTATATACATACACAAAGAACATACATTCCTTTAAAAATAAAAATTAAAAATTGTCTTCGATAATGGCTAAAAGAATAGTAGAAAGGGCTCGGATATGCAGGACATTTGAACGATTTTTACACAGAAAAACACTTATATAAACACAATAAAAATACATAAAAGTTTTAATCACAGTAGCTTGACAGTCGTATTTTATGAAACATGTATAGAAGATGGATTGCTGCACGCCAATTCCACTATGCGTGATAATGTATCCATATATATATATATATATATATATATATATATATATATATATAAGTAAATAACTTATTGATAGGTTCGTCTGGCTCTTTAGGTTTATTTAGTTATTCTGCTCTACTTAGCGTATTGAGCACTTTATTTAGTTATTTTTACTTTACTCGTGTCGGAGGTTTCCCCCTTTTTCCCTCTTTGGTATTAGTTTGTTCATTCACAAGCTAAAACGCCTAAGGTTTTACCGGACGAGTATAGCTGATTATATTTATAAGTTTATTAGTGTTATATATATATATATATATATATATATGTGTGTGTGTGTGTGTGTGTGTGTGTGTGTGTGTGTGTGTGTGTGTGTGTGTGTGTGTGTGTGTGTGTGTGTGTGTGTAGTACAGGTAATCGATCGGTTTATAATCCGGTTGAATCCTAGTAATATTAATTATTAAAACTGATCCAAAGTGAGCACGATATTTTAACAGAGCATATGCATTTTTACAGCCCAAAAACAAAAAAAAATGCATCAACATATATAACAGTTATAATATATTTCGAACCGTTCTTCAGACGGCTTTAGTCGGCCTCTAAGTGCTTGTTTCAGAGCATTGTTCTAAATTTATTTTCAAAGTCAGTACTCCTCTAGTAGACGCCTTGTTAATGAGAGTGGGTTTGTGTTAACGATTGGTGCGGGCGTAATTTATATTATTCCGGGTGAAGCGGTCTGGGTTTGTAGTTTGTTTATATATATATATATAATTCGACCTTGCCGACTGAACGATCCTTTGTGGTCGATTGGTAAGGCACATCAGCGTAAATGACGGTTCCGTATAGGATGCAGGTTCGAATCCTGTCAAAGGACGAATATTTTCTATGAAAATTTCTCGGACATTCAGGCCAGTAAATGTTATTTAATACTGTTTATTATAAACAGAGCATTTACTTAAATACTTGTATCTTTAAAAAGAACGTTAAACATATAAAAAAAAATGTCTTTAATAAAATAAATTGTCGGACTTTTGTTCATTTCTTAATATATATATAATCACTATATAAATCACTATATATATATATATAAAATATATAATAAATATAAATAAAAATATATAATAAATCTCCATATATATATATATATATATATATATATATATATATATATATATATGAAGAAATATAGTTTTATGGTTTGCAATTTTTATGGGTTAAATCAGAGATCATAAATCTATCAGAGGTAGAGCATATGTTAAATATAAAAAGTGAACACTGAAGTCAACACTCAGAGGCGACAGGCTGTTTTCAGGCCTGACGATTGCGGCTAGCAGATAGTCGCTAAATTGGAGCCGACTTCGGAGTTTCGCGGACACACCCCACACATCTGGATTACAGTGTGAAGTCTAATTCTCTACTGAGAGTTTTTTTACAAAATTATGCTCGTCTTGAAATACGTTATATTGTCGTACATTTACGTATTTTATATATATATATATATATATATATATATATATATATATATATATATATATATATATATGTGTGTGTGTGTGTGTGTGTGTGTGTGTAATTTACATATATTGCTGAGTGCATGTGTGAGTGAGTGCTTAGGAAGGTAGTTTTTATTCTTCCGTGTGTTACTGAATGACAATGACGTCAGTGTCTGACCTCGGGGAGAAAAGAATTACTAGTATTCCGCCGTGGCATGTGGAAACACGTGCTATCAAGAGACACAATAGTGCTGTCACTCACCAACTGTGCTGGTGTCATCCACGCCCGAACTCTAACCCCAGGTAATAAACGACAATTAAGAAGAAAAATACAAACCAGAAAACTGCAAGGTGGTGGTAGGGATTATAACAGAATAATGTTAATAATAGATGGCACTGGGGATATCAAGATGTTTTAATATTAATGACACTTCTAAAGACACCAAATCAAACTGACAAATGATTTATTATTCAAAAAGTCTTCTTGTGATTGAGTACAGTTTTGGCGGTATGTAAGACATATTTCTTTTTAAAAAAAAATGCCTTAAAAATCCCACTGTGTCTTATGGGATTTTGGAGGTCCTTGTTGATCGATTTATTCGTTTTTTTTTTTAAAGTTTTTAACAAACCTTTTAAAGACAGAAAATATTTTTTTCAGATTATAAGAATTTTTTGAGATTATTAATTATTTAGCCATAAATGTTTTACTAATTAACCCATAACTGGGGGGAAGAAGTGAATTCATACCTTCCCAAACCATATTTGCGCGTAAATGAATATTACAATAAAAAGCAACAACAAAAATAGCGAGAATTGAAACAAAGCTCTCCGATTAACAAATCCATTGCACCATTTGCGCATCTAAGCATATAGCACATCCACGCATATAGCACCTTGTATTCCCATCTAGGTATTGACCAGGATCAATGTTGCTTAACTTCGGTGATCGTACGGGAACCGGCGTTTCCACGTGATGTGGTGGAGCCATGGAGGTGTAATATTGTGTATATTAATATGTATTATGTTGTATATAAAATAAAATGAATATTTTAAAGTTTAGAGTTAAAAAGGAAAAAAGAAACAGTTGACTAATAATCAACCACACAGCTTGTGGGAAATATATCGTCAGAAATACGATATATTTCCAAAGTGCCGCACGCTGAGATCGACCTCGGTCCATTCCGAGTCCGTTGACGGTCACAATTCCGAAAAAAAAAAACAAGAAACAGCGATGAATTATCATTAGACCCATGAATTGACTCATCAGTAACTGGACAAATGGTGACATTTCGTTGTAAAAAAAATAAAAGTTATTCTTACAAAATTGTTTAGTGAGATTTTTTTGCTACATCTGCAAGATAGTAAGATGGAGTTTATCTTAGCTCACTACACCCGGTGCGGGGACGCTTCGATGTGGTGTAATGGTTAACAATGTTGCTTCGCTGGAGCAATTACAACTAAGTAGTGAGTTCAATTCTCACTGTGTACTCCACAGTTTTTCTGCTTTGTGCCACATTCACACCTAGAAAACAACGACCACCTCATCCTCTCCGTCTTTGATCAAATTTCCCCACTGAGGAATAATAAAAGTAGGCAATAGAGATCAAGACGATTTTTTTATTTATTTATTGCTACAAGAACCCTTATTGTTGGTAGCCGCGTCGTTACTGGCTTCAACCCGCCGGGCCCCAGTGCCACTTCAGAGACGGTATCAATGACGGACGCCCTTAGCTTGTCTATGCAATCTGAGTGTGGAAAGCGTATTAACGATGCAAAATTCCTGCGACCCTCTACTGTTTTGGTTTTTGTTATGGGACCTACCTTTATGGACTAAATGGACTTGCCCTATTACTATATATATACGGGGAGATTATGCCTCTCAAGAGAGCTGTCTACAGTTGACCTGTTACAGCTAAACAGTCGAACTCTCTGCCTTCGGGCGGAGAGGAACCCGGACGAGACTAATATTCGGGGAGTTTGACTGCCCCTGAACCCGTCTATGCGGGTTCAAATAGGGATTATTTTTAGCCGAGCCTACGGGCTCGGAGTTCCCACGTTAAACCGGACTTGTGCCACATGTAACCCTCGTGAGGTGGAGGTAACTAAATATCGCTGTCTACAGTTGACGAGTTGACTACTGTACTTTGCCGTCAGTCGGACGTGCAACACTTTTGTATTCGTTTTTTTCTGTTTAATAATATGTTTTCACTAAATTGCTGAGTTCGAGTTTTCTTTTGGACATATTCTGGGTCCACAGCAGTTTTATATCTAAAACTTAGGCAATAGCAATCCATCACTGTAACAAAACCACGACCACGATTTATTTTGACCAATCGCTGACCATCCTGGCCCAGCCTCGGCAATCTGTATTATTATAGCTATTGTCTAAGCATAGCTTAGATGTGGCACAAACCCAAAATATTGGGCACCCAGTCAGGTTCGAACTGATTACTCAGTTGTAATCGTTCTAGCGAGACAAGCTTGCTAACGATTACACCACGTCGAGGTACCCTTTGGTGATTTTCTAAGCGTAGTTTAGATGTGACACAAGGCCGAGAATATGTGGCACTCAGTGAGGATCGAACTCACTACTCCCTCGTAATTGATCTAGGGCTCTTAGATATTTTAACTGGACGATGGTAGTCATATATCAGCATCTACCCGCGGTTTAAAGACACAACGCTCCCCGAAGTACTTGAGATGCTTTGATAGAGTGTTCAAATTGATAATAGTTACCGTGTGATTAAAGAATATATTCAATATAATACCTTATAAAAATTTGCTGTAATGACTTTGTTACGTTCAGAGTTGGATAAGATACATAAATATTTTTACCTACGAGAAAATAGCCTAGTGGATTAAAGCGTTGGTTCGTGGATTTTATTGAAAAAGGGGTTCAGTTCGGGATTCCCTGTAGGTTACCCGGATCACTATGCACATGATGAAAGCAGAAGGGCACAAACATTGTGATAAAAATAACAAAGATGAAAACAACAGTGTAAAAAGCAATAAATGTATATTCTGGGTAACCAGCGAGACGCGTATATCAGTTTAGAATAACTAAATAAAAGTTGAAAACGGTTCTCTTAGAAGAAGTATTATAATATCTATTTCTCTTTCTCTTTCTGACTTTACACACACACATACACACACATATATATATATATATAAATTACTACTTTTCCACAATGAAGACGTATGGAAAAGAAGGGATCTTTGACACTACAATGGGGAGCTTTGACGGACCATTACCTGCGAAATCATAGACATATATTTACTACATGAACTAAGTGAAATAATAGATAAAAATGATATAGGACTCTACAGGGACGACGGTCTCATAATCTTAAGAAACTACAACAAAACACAGACAAAGCTAGAAAACAAAAAATAAGGATTTTAAAAAATAACGGATTTGACATAGATATAAAAACTAACCTAAACGAAGTAGATTTTCTAAGTTATCTTCAACCTATGAAAACGCACATATAAACCATACAGAAAACCCAATGATAAACCACTGCACATGCACACATCATCCGCCTTCGATAATCAAACAGATAACATAATCGATTAACCGCAGGCTTTCCGAAAATTCTTGCAACTAAACCATATTTACGAAGCTAAGAAAGACTACGAAGCAACCCTAAAATATAGTGGATTCCCGGCAACACTTCCATACTCACTGCAGAGCACAAGAAGGAAGAGAAATATCATATGGTTAAACTCACCGTACAGCGAAAAACGTAAAAACAATCGTAGGTAAAATATTCTTCAAACACTTAAAGAAACACTTCCCGGAATCAAGCACCCTGCACAAAATATTCTATAAAAACTGTAAAAATCAGATACGGTTGCACAGAGAACATGACACAAATAATAAAAAAGCACAACAGGAAAACTATCAAAAAACCACCCGAATAAATTAAACACAGGTGTAACTGTAGAATAAAGAATGAATGTCCCTCAAACTGTAATTCCTTACAAAACAACGTAATATACCAAGCCACGGTAAAATCAGCATATAATGAAGAAAAAGTATACATAGTAGTAACTGAAGGACCCTGGAAACAAAGGAACTATGCATACAAAACATCTTTCACAAATAGTAAATAGGCGAACAGCAAAATGCTTTCCCAATATATCTGGGAAATTAAAAACAAAACACAAATCACGCCAAAAATATCATGTAAAATAAGGAAAAGCTCAGCAGCCTACAACAATCAATGAAAAATCTGCAAACTTTGCTTGGAGGAAAAAATAGCTAATATTACCTTTCTAGACCAAAATGAATTTCTAAATAAACGATCTGAGCTCATCTCAAAATGCAGACACGAAAACAAATTTTTACTACGTTACTTAAAAATCGAAAACTGAAATGAATAAATACAAATAAACAAAAAATATAAAAAACAAGTAAAATAAATTAACCTAAAAAAATGATAAACAAATTAACAAATCACCCCCGTTAGAATAGATGAAATAGAATAAATAAAAATAAAATACATAAAAAACAATTAAAAATAATCAACACAAATAAATAAATAAAGTAAATAATATTAAAGTAATTAATAAGCCAAAATAACCGATAAAATTAACTACAACAACCAATCCAAAAATTGGGCGCAAAAATAGCTATAATCATTATATAACGTTAAAAAAAAACATTAATACGTTACTCAAAAATTGAAAACTAAATAGAGTAAATAAAAATATACAAAATAAAAAATAAGTAAATAAATAAAACCAAAAAAAATAATCCAAATAAATAAATAAATTAACAAATTAACAAATCGCCCCCGCTAAAATAACCAATAGAGTTAATAAAAACAAGTGTAAATAAGGAAAAACAAGTAAAAATAATAAATCCAAATAAATAAACAAATTAAAACCTGTCCCCCAACCAAAATAACAGAATAGACTACAGTAAGCAAGTTAAACATTGGACGAATAAATACCTTTAATCATCTTCCCAGACCAAGGCTAACTATTAAATAAACGACCTAAGCAAATCCACCTCCATTTTTTTACTACGTAAATAAAACATCAAAAACCGAAAAGAATAAATAATACAAAATGAAAATGAAAAACAAATAAATTAACCCAACAATGAATTAAATAAATAAACAAACAACCCAAGCCAGCAAAAAAAAAAACGCCAGAATAGATTACCCACAATGCACCACTGACCTATATGTATAAATAGTCGAGGAAAAATCCAACATTCGCGGCCTGACGATTGTGCCTAGCATGAAGCAATCTGTTGCCTCTGAGTGTTGACCTCAATGTTCACTTTTATATTTATATTTACATACGCTCTATCTCTGATATTGAGCACTTTATCCCATAAATATAACCCACCTTAAAACTATATTTCTACATATATATATATGTGTGTGTGTGTGTGTGTGTGTGTGTGTGTGTGTGCTTGTTTTTATATATATATATATATATAGTTCGATGGATACAGCTCAGGGATATACATATATATATATATATATATATATATATATATATATATATATATATTCAGTTCTCTGATTCTGCACAAGTCTTCACCACTGTAATTAAATATAATGTACGAGTAGTTCAACCGTTCGGTTCTTAGAAATGAGTTGCTGTACCCCCATACGTCGGAAACGACGGCACCGTTTAGTATATATATATATAGAGAGAGAGAGATAGATAGATAGATAGATAAGTTGACGGAGAGAAAGTGTTAAATAGAAAGAGATATAAATAAATAGATCAGTTTATTTATCCTTATCTCTATTCATATTTATCTCCTTCATTACTCTTCTTATAAATTTACTGACATTTTTATTTATTACTCATTATTCGCTTACAATTTATCTTCCTTCCGATTTTGCAACAAATTCTTTCTTTCGTTTTTCCTCTCTTTTTGTTTATATTTCTTGTTTTTATCCGCCATTGATGTCCATAAATTATAAAAATTCTTACGTCACATTGCTTTCAAACGTTCTTTATTTACTTCTGCCCGATCAAACACAATTGCTTGATTGGATTAATCATAGTAAGTTGTCCGTTTCTCAGCTGCCATCATAAATCTTTGCCACCGACACAATCAACACTGGCCTTCAGTTTCGCGCCAATTCTCTGTTTACTTGATTCGCCATTTTGTTTGCTTGCCTTTGCGAACATAGAATTCTTTTTTATTTTACGTTTTTGCTCTTTTTTAAATGCTTTTTTCTCTTTTTTTTTTTCACATAGTTCTTTCCTTCTTTCTTTCTTTCAATTAATCTTTCCTTTCTTACTTTTGTAATTTATTTTCATTCATTTTTCTCCATTTATATTTTTCCTTTTTGCCAGGCCATTCCATTTCATCTCTTAATTTATATCTTTGTTTCTTGTTTTTTTTTCTTTCTTTTTATTTTTCTTTCGTTCGTTTTTTCTTTTTGTTCGTCATTGATCTTTTTTCCTTTGTTCTCTATTTAGTTTCGTTCTTTCCCTAAACTAGTATTTCACTCCTTCTTTCTTCCTTTCAGTTCTACTTTCATTTTTCATAAGTTTCCTAGTCTTTGTTTCTATAAGTTCGTATTTTTTTTTTTTTTTTTAGTGGATTTTCCGCTTCTTATTTTTTCGTTCATTTCTTTTTTTCGAATTTACGTTCATTTTGTTTTATTTTTTTCTGTATTAATTTTTTATTTTTTATTTTATTTTTTCCTTTCTTCCTAGATTTCATTTTTTTTCTCCCCGTTTTAATTCAAGTTTTTCATTCCTGCCTCCCTTTTGCTGTCTTTCTTGTTTCTTTCGTTTTTATTTATGAGTTTATATCATTATTTATTTATTTCTTCCATTCTTTTTCCATATGTTTCTTTTATTCTTTCTTTCTTGCATTCTTCCTCCTTTTCTTTATTTCATTCTTTCTTACTTTCTTACTTTCTGTTTCTCCTTCATTCTTTCTTCCTTTTCTGTCTTAAATTATTTCTCCCTTCTTTGTTCCAATCTTTCTTGCTTTCTTTCTCCCTTTCTTTCTTTCATTCTTTCTCTCTTTCTTTCTTCCATTCTTTCTCCATTTCTTTCTCCATTTTTTTTTATTCTTACTCTCTTTCTTTATTTAATTCTTTCTTTCTTTTTCTTTCTTTCTTTTATCATTCATCCTCCTTTTCTTTAATTTATTCTTTCTTACTTTCTTTCATTCTTTCTCTCTTTTTCTTTCATTCTTTCTTTCTTTCTGTCTTTCTTTCAGTCTTTCTTCCTTTTCTGTCTTCCATTATTTCTTCCTTTCTTTCTTTCTTTTTTCTTTCTTTCTTTTTCTCCCTCTTTTTATTTTATTCTTACTTTCTTTTCTGTCTTCCATTATTAATTTCTTTCTTTCTGCTATTCTTTCTCCCTTTCTTTCTTTCATTTTTTCCCTTTCTTTCTTTCTTTCTTTCTTTCTTTATTTCTTTCCCTCCTTTTATTTTATTCTTACTTTCTTTTCTGTCTTCCACCATTAATTCCTTTCTTTATGCCATTCTTTCTCCCTTTCTTTCTTTCATTTTGTCTGCCTTTCTTTCTTTCTTTCTTTCTTTCTTTCTTTCTTTTCTGTCTTTGTTTTCATTACCCCATTTTTAGCCCTCATTCTGTCTTTGCATCAATTATGTTACTCCTGTTTTCGCCATTTTTCATTATTTTCATCACCAATTTTCTCTATCTTCCTTCTTTTTTTCTTCCTCTCTTGTTTTCTTTCTCAGCATCATTCACCCGAGTTTTAGTTTGCATAGCGCTTCTCGTAGTACGAATATCAGTAAGCCCATCTCGAAAACTATTTGCCAAGTTTGCAATGTCGATTTTCACAGTGTTTTCACAACTTCGTCCTAATCATCGTATAATCCGAGCTTATTAAATACCGACTGAAAAAGAAATATTAATATTTATTTTGTTTTTGTTCTTTGATTTTCTTCCATTGTCTCCCAGTATCATTTCATCGTGTGCATGCGCGTGTAGTTTAACAAATATCACCGCTAAAAATGGAAGCGGCAAGACATGTGCAAATTTCAGCCTCGTATGCTGCATTGATTTTTTTTTCTGATTTTTAATCAATTCACCCAAAGCAAGGCGATAAGGCCGCTAAGGTTATGGGTTGTGAAAGAGAATGAGAAAACTTTATAAGGGACCGGAAACCCAATTCTAAACATAAAGCAAAGGATAAACCTCTACTCCTGTCCAATAGACCAGTGAGGGGATTTAATCGGGTAATAGGCGAACCTAACTACTTTGCACAAATGTCCTCGGGAAATACGTGACTTCATCTGTTCTCTCGTCCCCATGTATAGGTTAATAGCAAGGAAAACCGGGCTCTCTATCCTTGGATAGTAGCTAGTCTAGTAGAAGAACAATTTTGAATAAAAACAAAACAGTGAAGAAGGCAAAGGAAAAGAATTGTTTCCCAAAAGTCATGGTAAGGAAGAGCATTGATTGTTTATGGCGTTAAAAAATCTGTTCGCTCAAATATTGTTAGTGCCTTTCTTTACTTTTCTTTTTCTCTTCTCTCTCTCCCTCTCTCCTTCCGGTTTTAGAAGAAGCTAATTTGCGCTCGCATTCTCTCTCACCCACTCCTCACACTTCTCTCTCTCTCTCTCTCTCTCTCTCTCTCTCTCATATTCATATATATTCATATATATATATATATATATATATATATATATATATATATATGGGGGGGGAGGGTGGATGTGGGTGTTTAATAACTGGCCACTCGAATTCGAGGAAACCGGTCTACTAGGGCGGCTAGATTATCCCTATTGCAGACTCTTGCTCAGGTACATTTATGTTTGTTCAATACCCACAGAACCAAACTATGGTTTATACTGCTGCTATGCTGAAGAGACTTTAGTTACAGTTTCTGGAAGAGACCGTGTTATCTAGCGTGATAAACATTTTGAACAAGGCCAGTACGCTCACGACCTTGTGGCTTCGTGCTAGCACAGCTATCGATGGCCCCATGTGTTCCGTCTACACAATTTCACTCACAAGGCTTGTATCAACCCGTGGTATGGTTTTCAGGCACTTTCCAAAGGTGAACACACGCTGGGATCGTCCCCATCCGTGGTGAGATTTGAACCCGGCTCTCATGTATATATATATTGTGTATATTTAGGCAGCAATTTTTCATTAATACATTTTTAATTAAATAATATAGACAACTATACTTAAACTCGAAAACAATAAACAAAAATTAAAAATTCTTGAAGCTTTATGAAATCACCACAAATATCCTTAAATGCCTATAATTTATAACAGAAGCCATTGGTTTATACCAACGGTTTCCCATACTTAATACTTCTCGTTTTTCACTCTCGCGTGGTCATCTGTGACGTCACGAGCTGCGACGCGATATCCGCTTCCACGTCTCGTATATATGAGTTTGTCGCTACTTGGAAAATATAATGCAGCAAGGGCGGACTATCATTGTTGTTTCGTCCGTGTGTTGTTTGATTTATTGAAATTGTCATCTTTGATAATGGCTTGTGTAAGCCTAAAGCTTAGATTGGATTTAAACATGTGTCAATATGGTGTTTTCCTTTCGGCTTTCACGATAATGTGATTAAACTTATCAGACAATATGAAAGGAACTTACTTAAAATAGACAAAACTTGTCTATATTATTTAATGAAACATGCATTAAACATGCATTAATATATATATATATATATATATATATATATATATATATATATATATATATATATATAAGTATAGGATTGCTGCATACGGAATAAATTCAATAACCAACAAATACTTTTCTTAAAGAATAAAAAAATATAATTATTTATCGAAAATTATAAAATAAATATATATATATATACATATACATATATAGACACGTAAAACACACACACACACACACACACACACATATATATATATATATATATATATATATATATATATATATATATATATATATATATAATTGGGCATCTGTTTATCTTGAGATATAAATGAAGCACCTTGTTTAGTTTTTAACTTGTGGTTGAATCAGGACGAAATTAAATCATCAGTGGTCTAACTAGTAAGCGAAAACTGTGTAGCTGTCTCCATTTAGTAATGATGATGATCTCACAAAGAGATGGAAAATACTTGGGAAATAAAAGTGAGTCTAACTGTTACAGTGCATTTCTTGCCTTATTTGATTGTAATATCCGGAAAAATATTCGTGAATATGAAAGGATTATGATAAAAATAAGCAGACATAATGCTTGTAATTTAGTCAATATATATATTTATACACACACACACACACACACACACATATATATATATATATATATATATATATATATATATATATACCTATTCCGCCATCGATGTAGACATATAATTCACGCATATACAGGGCCTATCAAAAATACTTTTACAAACTTTGTGGGCGAGTATCTCACATCAAAACATGTCAACGTATGAGGATCAGACAAACTCATTCAGTTTTTATGTTTGTGCCGTATGTGACACTTCAGTGACCTACATACAAGTACACATATTGTGCAACAGCGAGGATCTTGGGTAATAGCCAGAGAAATATGCGCTGATGCTTAGCCGGTCAATTCGACCAATTTCGAAAATTTCTGAAGTAATTCTAGCACAAATATCTTCAGTCATTTCTACCCAGGGTAATACGCACCAATTATTATGAGGTACATTAACAGCCGAGATGTTACTCTTTAGCGTGTATTTATACCTGAGCAACGGCCGTCCAACTGTCAGTTGTCCACTGTCAAGTTGGCTATGCATAAGGACCTTAGGTATTTTGACTTCGCTCATCCTTGCTACATGATCAGCCTAGCGAAGTTGTGATTGTAATAAGAAAGTCTCAATTACACCAATGTTGCATTTTGCGAGATCTGTATTGGGCACCTATCGTCAAAAGTGTAGCCACAGAACGCGGGGAGATAACTTTTCTGGAAGACATCCAGCCGATTGACCTCTATAAGGTCCACAATGCTGAGCCGTACAACTGTGATCAAAATGTCCGATTTGATAGCTCCCCGATTCCGTAGGCGGTGGCGAAGTTTCCCAAAGGCACTTGTAGCTTTGGCGATTCGATTTGTTATTTCGTCACCAAGGGATGCCGTTGCATTCATCTTGCTTCCTCAATATGTAAATGACTTCACATACTTCAAGTTCTTCCCATCAAACTGTATAGGAGTGTCTGATAATTGATGGCCTGACGGAGGCTGTCTAACACCCAGAATCTGCTTTGGGGGAGGAAGCGGCTAGAGGATTACCTCCGTTTTCTTTATGTTAATGGTGAGGCCAATAGCTTTACATGCAACAGAGAAATTGCTGACGAATTCTTGGGCTTCCTCTAGGGTTAGTGCCATGAATATATATATATATATATATATATATATATATAATGAAAAAGCATACCACTTTAAGGTACCATTACAATAATTTATTTCACCAAAATCCTTTTTAAAGGACTCCAGACCATCAGGTAACACTTCCAACAACGAAATGAAAGGAAAAATGGGATTAGAAATTGATGGGTAGTGTAATTTTGTAATTTAACAGGGAGGGTGATAGTTGTAGTTAACGAAACAAGGTAGAGTATAGGGAGGGGTTAATTTCATATTTCTCTGAAGCATGTTTTATATTGGGGTAGGAGGAGATAGACGACAGTAATACAGATATATCTAAATGAGTGTTACGGCAAAGAGAGAGGGGGAGAGGGAAGTGAATCGAAAAGGCTGTAATTTTGTTTTAACAAAATTATGTAAAAAAATTTCAATGCTTGATAGAAATTTAGATGTCTAAAAATGATGAATGTTATCAATTTAAACATTTAGTTTTTTAAGTAAATAGTTTAGGGACTTAATATAAGTTAACTACTATTTTTATTAGCACATTTATCGAGAACATATTAAAGAAATATTTAAAATTATAATAGTTTATTTACCCGACCAATTGTACTTTCATAATATTGGAAAAAAAATTTTGCTAACAATAACATCTATATTAGTTTTACTTTAAATCTAATTTATGAATGCAATTTTTCTTTATTATTATATGGGTAAACTTAATTAAGATTTGGGTTTCATTATTTAATAATATTTGAGGGTAATATTAAAGATTTTGTTTTCTACTTATATGTATCTCACAATAACATATTCATGCAAATCCACATATATATATGTCCATTTACATGTGTAAATACACACATAAACACACGTGCAACAATATACACAAATGTTCATCCATCTTCATACATAAATTACATATACACATATACATTTCTCAATCATTACCTATATTTTAACGTTTGAAATTTATTTAGATTTTAGTTTGTTTTTTCTAGTTAAAGTTTAACTTTGGGTAACTTCTGAAGTGCTTCATTATTAAAGGGATTTCGTTAATATTATTATTACTATTAATAGTTAAAAGAGTGAGATATTTAAAATTATCAATTTTAAGATGAAACTCCCTTAAGAAGATAAAAAATACACTCTCAAAATTTAATTATAGAACATTAAAGAAAAGAGCAATTTTAAAATACCAAGAGAATGACCCAAGTACTTTCATTTAAAAATATTCCATACACGTATAGACACACACACACACACACACACACA